GTGGGAACATTGCAGGACGTTCTCAAGCAAAGGCTTTAAGTTTTTCGAGAATTTTCGTAGTCAACGTTTACTACATTGTAAGTTATAACGATTAAAAATTTGTAGAATTGAAATTTTAATGTTAGGTGCTCCAATCCTAAACATAGTTATTTAATTGTTTTTAAATTATGTCTTAAAGGCGTATAAAGATACATATACCTGTAATTATGAGCAAATAGTGTTTAAGTATCCTTTATTTCGAATTAAACCTAAGGAGATATTGAAAATTAAAATAGTAACTCACATACAAAACTATGTCAGTTTTTGCTTTTAAACTTTCCATAATGCTATAAAAATTATTTTAATCGCTATGATATTGCTAACATGAAGTGATTCTAAATTTCCAATATCTCCATAAATATCCAAATCTTAAATTTCTTATAATCAATACTCTATATCTTAAGATGTATGGAATATTTGTATGCACTAGTTATCAAACAAAATACTTATTATGGTAAAGATTTTAAGTAACTGATAATAAAGAGCGATACTATAAATAAATTAATTATACTTGAGTATGATTAGTTTGGTTCAGTGTGAATAGTATGTTACTGAAGCTTAAATTCAATATTTAAATAATACTTATCTATAATTAAATGAAATGCTTTATGTAAACAAAGAAAAATAAAAAAAAATTAATAAAGAAAAATAATAAAATTTAAATAATGAAAAAATGTATATAAAACATAATTTGAGGCTGATATAAAATTTTCATAGATGTATAGATTTTATTAATTTATCTATAGATAAAATCTATACATTAAAAAACTTTGATTTTTGGTTAATTCACACTCATTCTTATTCCTTAATCAAATTTATAAAGAAATATGAGGAGTATAAACGAGATTTATTACATAAATTAGTTTAAACGTGCCCTTTACCATTATGCCATTTATAAAAGTGGAGTGACATGAGTTGAGTTAAATTTTGTCAATAATAGTTCCTTATGGTGCTATTTTGGATACGTATTTCATAATAAAAGGGAAGCTGGCGTATTATTTTATAATTAACTGTATAAAAAACAAGAAAAGGTGAAAGAAAGAAATGCATAAAAGAGAAGAGATAATTTTTGGTTAAGCATGAATCTAATAGTAATATTATCTATTAATTTAAGTAAATAACTACTTTGCATTTTTTTAAACAAATTTTATTTATGTTAAAATGTTTTATACATAAAATCTATTTTTAAAAGCTTATACATGATATAAAATAAAATACATCAAATTTACACCGTATTTTAATATTCTCAACATGATCCATTGCTTCATCCCTAACCTGAGCTTATCTAAATTAAAAGAAATTATTACTTACAATTTAATACAATTAACTAACATCTTAAATTAGTTCTTACTTTTCAAAAATCTAGAGTGTAACTTAAAAATAAATCGAAAATATTAAATTTAAATTTTATTTCATATAAACTATTAGTTTCAAATTACATTAAAATAATATATATTAGTAAACTGTTATTGAACTTCTGCAATTACAAAAAATAATCTAAAAATTTTTTTCAGATTTAAATAATTATTTTACAAATCCTAATACTTTGTACAATATTATCATACATTTTTAATATTTCCAAATTTAAAATATAACTATTTGAATATATAATGGTTAATTTAAAAATATAACATTTTTACATATAACTTTAAAATGTAATTTTATCATATATGAACACATGTTAAATTACAACATCACTTTTTTTGTAAATGATGTGTTTTTACTGTAATTATAATGATTTTTTTCTTTTTCGCATATAATATAATTTGCAAAAATTTTATTTTACTTATATTTAAATCATTAAGTTGTACGCATATTTATTATTGAATTAAATAACATAAATCTTGATTATTTCTGTTAATAAGATTAAAAATTTGCGGTTCTAAGTAAAAATAAAACTATAAATAATAATTTTTATTGCTTCAATATTATATTTTATTTTTCACAAAAATTATTAGTACACTAATAATTTAATTTATTAAAAAAAATTATAATATTGTATTTGAGATTCCGCGGGTAAATTATAATTTAGAAAGTTTTATCATATTTAATTAAAAAAAAATTAAATTAAAATAACTTTTTTAAAATAAATAATATGTTTATTATTATTTGGAATACATTGAATATAATTATCTATTTTGGGAAATTTTATAAGCGTAATGCCACTTTTAATGCTTCTGTATATTTATTAAATATACATTCATTTTTTATCGGAAGTTATGAAATATATATAATTTAATTACTGATAAAACAAAGTATCTTTTCGTTAACATTTTTATTATGTAATATTTAAAATAAACTTAACAGTTTTTTAAAGTATCTTTTCTTGTTCAAATTCTAGATAATAATTATTCATAAATTAATTTATTAATTAAAATAACAAAATAAAACCATTTTCAAATAGCCTATATAGTAATGATTTAATCCAATGGATTTAAATAATAATATTAAATATATGTTCAGAATTTACAAATTTATTTAAATGCATTACAATTTTCACATCTATAAAATATATTTTATTTATTAATCCGCGTATTTACTTTAACCTATTTATGATAAAACAATATATGTTTATATTGAAATCTTAATACATAACATGATATTTACCTCTTTTAGTGTCTTTTTCTGCACGAAAAATTAAAATACTATGTAATAGCATATACGCTAATTATTATATTTTCATTTGTTAAAGACAAGAAAATCTCAGATATTTAAAAAATCATTATCTAAGTATAAATTTTATTTATGTGATGTAAATTAGTTAGCTAAGACAAATGAGTACAATTATTAACAATTGCTTAGCTAAGGTAAGTAAGAACAATTAATCGTAAAATAAAGGAATACAGAAAAATATAAATAATTAGTTTATTTTTATTTAAAAATTAATGAAATTATTTTAATAAAATATTAAATTATAAATTTAAATTTTTAAATAACCAGTCAATTTATTGTTTAATAGCATAATTTGTGTGCCAATCGAACCTGTATTTTTAGTACCGAATTGCTGAAAATTTCATGTTAAATATATAAATATCGCATTTAATCGAATACATTTTTATAACAAATGATGGTGTACTTTAATAAATTATATTATAAAGTATTATCCACTATTTTCTAATTTTATTTTTAAAACGTATTGATACTCAATATTTGTAAGTATATAATAATTAATATAAAAATGAGCATAGTTAATAGAATATATTAGGAAATTTGATAATAGTGTAAATAATTTAATATGTAATATATTGACAAATATTAAATTCTAACTCTCATTGATTTACTATTGAATAAATAGTCCCATTACTCTATTAAAAAAAAATGTTTTATTCATAATTCATATTAAAAAACAATTCATCAGTATGATATTTACATACAATTATTTCTTCTTATTGCTTTTATTTTTATTGCCATTTTGTTATTAATATAATTACAATAAATTGTGTTCAGATTTTAAATGAATTAACGTACAAGTATTCAAAAAAAATTTTTTTCATATGACAATTATAACATTGAAAAATTAAAACGAAAAATTAATATTCATTTTTTTAATAAAAAATATTTATTTTATATTTATATGATAATCATTTAGTTTATTTAAAAAAATGTAAATTAAATATCATATTATTTAATGGTACAAGAGTTATAAGACGTAATTTTGTTTTTTAAATTTAATAATCATTTAATTTTTAAAATTCTTTACTTTTTCTGATTTGCAGTTTTCAATCTATCATTAATTTTTTTAACTAAACGAAGTAAAATTTTAAAGTTATTAAATTTTTTAAGAAATTTTAAATAATATAAAACGATTTTTATTTAATTTAAATATATAATATACTAACAAAACTAATATAAAGATTACATAGGTATATTTCTAGAAATTTTTTAATTGAATCGATTTATTTATTACTATTTATTAAAATAAAAATTGAAAGGTAATTATTCTAACAATCACCGTTAAAATTTTGAGGAAAGTTTATAATAAGAATAACAATAATAATAATAATTATTATAAAGTATTACCTTAACGTATCTATTTTAAGTTCAGTACAAATTATTCGTAATTTTGTCAAAATATAAGAAATGCGTTCTATCTAACAATAACCCGTATTGATCATTTTATGCATTAGTACTAATGAAATAGAAATTATTTTTTTAGTTATATTATTATGTTAATTTGTAAATCATTTTCAATGAATGAGTTTAACAAAATGTAACGAATAGAATTTGTATATTACCGTAGGTAAATATTTAAAGTGATTTAAAATAAGTGTCGAACTAAAATTAGAATTATCTGTTTTGTTTTGTCAACGAAATTATTTATGAATACAGGGAATATTTAAAAGGCGTTAAGAACACTTGTGACTATATTTCTTAAAACAAATCTAACTATCTAATTCTTTCTACTAGTAATAACTACCAATAAAAAATTAATTTTAATTTTTTTTTACAAATAATATTGTCATTATATTTATCATTGTCGAAAACATAAAATAGTGAACAATATTGTAATAAATATTATGTCATGGATTTACATATCCATATGCATATCTTGGTAAACGTTAGCAATATAAAGTGGTTGATAAATAAAATAGGAAAAATAAAGAAAAAGTGGATATTACAAATGGGTAAAATTATGAATGATTATAGCATTTGCGTATCTAACAAAATCGATATAAATGAAGGAAGAGAATATATATGGACTGATTTAACCGATTATATAGCTATAGAAAACAAATAAAATACACTTTCATTGCATATCTTCGAAAATATATGGTATGCACTAAAGCATAGAAGGATAAAAAAATAAACAAATTCACACGTAGATAATCCTTTTTCTATTTTTGTTGTGACTTTTAATCCTACTTATACTTTTGATTATAGTGATTTACCTTAAATTAAAACAATAATTAAAAATTCTTTGTTTATATTAATAAAGATTTGTTAATAAAAAAACGAACAAATATAGGTCAAAAAGAATAAATTGACGGTCAAACTCGTCGTAATCGAGAATCAAGAAGAGTGATGGTTTTGATTTTACTTATAGGATAATAAACGTATTAATGGCATCTATTTAACCCTTGTATTTTCTTGACAGAGTGATTTTGAAAGGACGGCGATATGCTGTTGTCATTTTTGGCATTTCCTGGTAGGGGGGCACTCAAATGAAGCTTTTCTTGTCGGTTGGCGGCTCGAGATAAGCAGATAAGTGCTCCAACTAAAACTACGATGCCGATAGCTGCTAGAGCACCCGACATAGCTGCCCGAGCTACAGGAGGTAGTTCAACAGCCATTCTTAGTAAGGATGTTACTTCCTCCGGCAGTTGATCTATTCCCTAAAAAATACGTTTTATTAATTTTTATAATAGCTTTTGCTTTTAAGAGATTATTCGAATTATTCATTATAATATTACGATTAAAAATATATAAGTATAAATGTCATTCCTTTTAAAAAAATATTAGATTAGTATTTTGAAAATATATCTATTAAAAAAGAATTATACATATTAAAGTTATTATTAGTATAATAAATATTATTATTTATATTAAAATCAGTCTTTTTTAAGTATTTTGTTAAAATATTTCTTCATGTGTATGGAAATAGAGAACAGACTAAACATTTTAATAATACTCAATCAACATTTTTCAAATTTTTATGATATTACATCAATGTTTATATTGTTTAATACTATTACTAGTCGATTTTATTATGAAATAGAGCACGGAAATTTTTGTTTATATTTATAATTTAATAGTACTATATTTATGAGTAAAATAATAAAACTATTTTGAAAATTTTAATTACATTTTTCTTTAAAACTATAATTGCTTACAATAGCTATGCATCTGTGGAGAGAAAGTATAAACTATGAAAATTTGAATTCTTGTCAGTAGTACTAATTTAGGATAATAATATATATAGTTTAAGATTTATATTTAAGGCCATTAAAGATTAGAAAAAGTTGAATCGTGGTTAGCACTTTTCATAATAAAATATATCTCACAGTAATATGCGTAAATATCTGTTAGTTGAAGATGTGCATTGCATTATTTCCTTATTTTTTTCTTTATTATATTAAAATATCTAATTTTGGTTGTAAATCAATTTTTCTAATAAAATATGGAATTCGTTTATATATTTTTTATATAGATATGTCATACTGATATATTAGTAAAAGTGTTCAGATATTTATTAGTAATTATATTCAATATACATTTTTTATTTTTTATATTTTTATAAAGATAAAAAATTGACATAAAATGTATTGATATAACTGTGATAATTAATAGTTAAAATAGGATTATATCATCGATTGCTGTAGTAATATGCATATAATATAAGTATATATGTGTAGGTATATGAATGCACACATTTTTTATATTTATACAAAATATATTAACGTTGAGTAAGATGACAAAAATATTGACACACTTGAAATGAATTATTTTGAATCTTTTTAAATTTACTTTTACTCATATTTTTTTTTATATTTATTCTTATTAATTATATATATATATATATAATTTTTATCAATTATCTATTTTACTGTCTGTGTACTTTTACATTATTATTTTAGAATTAAAAATTTTGTTTAAAATAAAATTAATATTTGTGTATAAATAATTGATTTTTTACAAGTTGTCTAGGACCAATATGTAAATATATTTTACATTATTATCTTCATTATATCCAGTACGTACACAATTTTATCTGTGCTTTATGATTACATTATTTATAAATATTTGCTTTGCATTCACATCATTGAGGATATTATTTAACTTTAATGTATATCCTAGCTTCTGTTTTCAGTACCTTAAATATATGAATTTTATAATAAATAAATGTGTACTTGAAATCTTTTGGTTGTAAGTAAGTTTACATAAATTTATAATTTTGAAATGCGTTGTATGCTATTTTTAAAATCGAATATTTTAATCATATTAGTTATTATTATACGTATTCAGTTATTCAAAAATTGAATTCTAACTATTACATAATTTTTTAAAATTGACTGTTTATGAAAGTCATTAATTTAAATTAATTATTGTTTATAAACAATTCTATATCGTATTGTTTAATCACACTTATGGTGTTTTTTATAAAATATATTATTTCTTTAAAGAAAACAAATATATCAATCTTATTATGTTAGGCTATACACATAATTATAATTTTAAATGTATCAGTAATTTCTTATCATTTTTTATATAATTAAAAATGTAAACTAAAAAATGTTTACTATTTTTACAAAATGCATATTTTGTAGATCAGAAGAAATATTTTGATAGTATCATATAATACTAAAAATTAAATTTTGGACTATGAGGAAATTACATTAATTATTTCGGATGCTAATTAATAAAATCATAAAAGTAATAAAGTAATAAGTTCATTGAATACTGTATTTCTTTTTAAAATATAGTTATTTTTTTCAATATGGTTAATAATATTTCATTTTGAATTTTTAAAGAACACATGTAAATTCTCGGATTTGTTTAATTATTTTATCTGCAAACTTTAAAAATCAGAATAAAAATAAAAATAGTCAAAAAATATTTACGTCTTCAAACCACATGATGGGAAAAATAATATCAGGGAAAGATGCAACTTGCTTTATATCTCGAACTTGACTAACAGCAAGGTTAATCTGAATTCTTGCTCTGGCACTTAGTGCAGTACCCATTGTAGGTTGTACATCAATATAGAGTTGATGTTTTTTTGCTTCAGGTGCAGAAATTCCTATGACTGCTTCTCTTAATGCAGGATCAGCTGAAAATGATCGAATTTATAGCTACTTATTTATCATTATCATCATTTTGTTAAAAAATTAAAATATTCACGATCATATACTAAATATAAACTTTATTGTAACTAGATACTCTTGAATAGAATAAATTTTTATTTAACTTAATTCATTATTATTCTAATAATTATATTAATAAATTTATATTTATTTAGATCAACAGTGTTTTAGGGTGAAACCAATTTTTTATTCAAATTTAATAAAATTGATTTATTTTAATGCGTTATGAATCATACAGTTGTACTTGCTTAAATATATATCAATAATCATTGCTATCTATTATTCTGATGATTATTAGTTGTAATATTTACCTATGATTAATACTGCTATATTTTAATTATTATCTCCAGTACTGCTCATATGAATGCAACACGGCCTTTTTGTTTCGTTACTAGTTTTCTCAAATAAAATAATATATTTTGAGTATCAATAGTCTAAACAAATAATGTTGCTAGAATCGTCAATATATCATACGTACATATCATATGTATATATGTAATGTTATCACAAGAAATGATTAAATATTCATAATCTTACGTATATTTTATACTTATGTATTACGATTTATATTAACATTTTTTTATAATAAATGTAATTTGGCATATCTAATGATTAAAAGTACTATTAATTAAAACTTTTAATAACAATTAAATTAATCATTAGAACTTACTAATAATATAAAAAATACAAACAAATTTAAATAAGTATTTTTAAAGTAGGAAAATTTCAAAATACTGTAATATTAATAAATATTATTTTGTAAAATGTCATTTTTACTTCATACATTTTTTATATTTTGTAAAAGGTATATTTTAAGGAAACTGTATAGCCGAAGAGCTTTATAAGCTAAAAAGATATAAAAACGAAAAAAAGAAAAAAAACAGAAAATAAATAAGTAATTTCATATTATTAATATAAATAGAATGATAAATAATAGATAAAAAGAGTACGATGAATGTAAAATGTGATAAAGGAACTACGAAAGGATATAAACTAACTTAGACAGTACTGATAACAAGTAAAAATAATAATATTAAGATTTAGAAAAAATCGAGTACAAGACTGAGAGTGAAGTTAAAAGTAAAATTAATTGTATTTTTATTTGTTTGTGATATTTGTTTGCGACATGAAAGATAAGAATATACAACAGCTAATACAGACTAATTAAAAGAGTATCTGTAGTAGAAAATTCGTTTTTATGAAATAACTTACTAATACTTATTTATTATTTATTCATGTATGTAGCATTGTAAAACTATAATGGCGCTCAGTCATTCGAATACTTAAAATTTTTGTTTATTATATTGATATATTCGCATATATCTATATTTATTTAATATCACTTTATTTAAAATAAATATATTTACCTTAATTTACTATTTTCTATTTGATTTAATCAAACATCTGATTAACCCATAATGACAAACCAACACGTGCACAGATTTATCATTATTTCAAACTTAGCAAAAAAATTACAAAGATTTATATGAAATTTACAAAAATTTATATAAAATTTATCTTTCAAATAAATAAATTTGTTTATAATTTCATTATATCTTAAACATAAGCAAAAATCTAATTTAATTTTCTTTAAAAACTAAAATGTGTTATTGTAATGCGCAATAACTAAAACTGTATATGTTATACCACTTTAGCTCATGTAAAATTGATTGTAAAACGATTGAAATTCATACAACCTGCTTTTTATATTCTTCTTGGAGTATTAGAAGTCCAGTATGTTAATATTAATATTAATTAGTAATATATTTTATAATTATTTATAATAATATATTATTTTTACAGATAAATTTAAGAATAATTTACTTATTTAAACGACCAGTATAATTTTTCGTTTCATTCTAGTTAATAAAAATCAAGAAAAACTTGTCTCCTTTCATAACTAAAAGATTCATTCATTATTAATATATCCGTGTTAATTTGTATTAATTTACTTTACTAATTTACAATTTCAAAACTTTATATTATATTTATTATATTCATCTTCATTTTTGAATCTTTGAAGAAAATTATTTACTATAATTCAATTGTAAATTAAAATTAAAATTATATGTGTATAGATATTTGATTGATTAGGTAATAAGCAAGCTTAAAATAAAACAAGACTAATTAATTACATTTTTATATAATTAATTAATTACAAATTTCATGTAATACGATATATAAAATTGCAGTAGGTAAACAATTAGATAATACATATTCTTAGTGACTAAGTGGTTTTGTTATTCGAAATATATTATAATATTTTAGTATAAACACATTTTTGTTAATAAATTTTATCTTCGTTATAATTTCCAATAATGTAGTATAAAAATTTTACAACTAACATTATTAGAATTGAGTGAACAACTAATGGAGTAATATAATTAAAAGTGAGCAGTCATATAAACACAATTTCTTATTAAGAATACTAAAATAGTAAGTGTTCATATATTTCAGTCTAAGATTATGAAATTAATGCATTTTTAACCCATATGAATATTATTGGTCGTATTATAATATATTTATAATTATTTAATTAATTTATACATTTGGATTTTTGTTGTGTGATGTATTAAATAAAATAAAATTGTAATTAGGTAATACAAAAGTCGTAAGTATTATTTTTTATTGTTTAAAGATTTGTTGAATTTATATTTTTTATATATATATTGAATCTTGTAATACCATTGATTCATACTTTGAAAAATTGTAATAAATACTATTTTAATAAATAAATAGTAAAATAACTATTATTAACAAACTTTATCTATATTCCTTATAGAGTCAAATACTTCAAACTTTATAACATAGAACAGTCTAATGTAAGATATTCAGAAATTGTACCAAACCAAAATAACATTATAAGATTATGGGACAGTTTGAACAATTTGAATCGATGAAAAAGTGGATTTGTTTCAGTCAAACTTAATAGAGCTTTTACAAACGTAAGTTTCATTTACAACCTAAAATATCTCAAGTGCCATGTAAACTAATTTAGGACATTAGAAAAAATATCTACTATTGGTTATACCTACTTTTTGTTGAAAATTAGTTTCGTTTGTTTCTGAATTATTATATATACAATTATTAAAGAAATCAATATGAATAGTAGATTTATCAAATAATAATTTGGTTATCACCGTCTCTATAATTGATTACTCATGTTACCTATAATTAACATAAATAACTTGGCCGATGATACTATAAAGAATAATTGGGAATCATAAGATTTTTAGTTAACGTAATTTAAATTTCGTTTTAAATAATTAATTTTTTTAATTCCTTAACATTCTCAAAACGATCTATTAATTTTTCATTTAACTATTTATTCATTCATTCAAATACATTACTATTTCTTTGTGTAAAATTGGAATGTACTTCTGATGCTTGATTCTTTTTACTTTTTCTTAAATCAAAACTGTGTCTATTCAATTCACGTAATAATAATAATATTACTTTTAATAAATAATAATAATCGAGTTCAATAGGATGTAATGAGAATAATTGTTTAAATTGAAGAGCAAATGTGTATAACTTACCCAAATAAAAATGTGGAAAACTAAGAAGAATAGGAGAGTCATACTGACATAATGAAGCATTAAAAGTGCCTTCAGGAGCGCATGGTGGTCCAGAAGGACAAAAACATCGTTGAGAAGGAATTTGATCTGGTGATGAAAATACACCAGCTGGTGGCACGAATCTGAATCCAGGAACACCACCGGCTGTCATTACGTCTTGCTATGTAAAGCATATTAATCGATATATAATTATTTATATAAAAAGAATTTAATTTGATATACGAATCTTATAATTTATTAAGTTATAGACTTAGGTTAATTATAATACTTAATTATATTTTATTGTGTATCAAATTTGTATAGATGGTTTATTTAATATTTAATATTAAAAAGTATTATTAGGTAAATTATTTTTTTATCGTCATATTGACTTTTGCATTTCTATTTAACTATGAAGTTATAAAAAGAAAGTTTATATTATAATAATGCACTTACAAAAGCTGCATAATTTAGAGGTTCGATTTTTTTTTAATAATAAAATATAAAAAAGACTTAGTTCTTTAAATAAACTTATGTACTGTGTATATTCCAGACCTTGGAATTTAAATAAAATATTCTAAGATATTTAATAAATTTTATAAGAATTATTAGATATTTAAAAACAATATGTTCTAAATAGTTTATAGGATTTATTAAAATTAACTATTTTTAACAAGAATAGATTACAGAATTTAATTAAAATTAAAAAACATTTTTAAGTTGAAAATTACTATGAAACATTCATTACAACAATAAAAAGGTATACTATTTTGTTCAGGATTGAACTACCTAACAAAAAATAAGAATTTATTGTTTGTTATAATACGATTCCGATATATTATATTTAGATTAAGGCGCAATATTTGAATTATACGTTACGAAAATTTCACTGGAAATTTAGACGCGTACGCGTACTCGAATACCACCTAAAGCAACTACTGGCCAATACGTCATGCGTGTAAGATGAGGCTGATGCAGTGGAGGACCTCACTCGTAACTCAAGTGAATTACTGACAAGATTGCAGCAGCTGAAATTAGAGGAAGACACGTGGGATTGCATTATGGTCCATCAAGTAACGCAAAGATTCACTCAACGTACTAGAGAACAATGGGAGGAATCATTAGGGAGATCGAACAATTACCCCAAGTGTGAAAAACTCTATGGATTCATGATGACAAGGGTGAGAGCTTTCACAAACAAGAGTCGTATTGCACCACGAGAAAGTGCCAATCATTTGACTACTGTAGCCAAAGCACAAGATCTGGTCCATCAATAGCAATCAGGACACTAAAGCAACTGGTGGAAGACTAGGGAGAAAGGTTTCCCCTGGCTGTGCCATTCATCACGCATGACAGACATGTCATGGGTTTTGGAGGTGAGAACACGCCGCACTACGACTGGAAACCCGATTCAACTGCAGAACCGCTGCATGGCGGGGGGTTTCCCAGTGAGAAAAAAGACCTTGAATGGATCATCGCCACATTACCAATGACTGAGATTCAGATCTTCTCAGCAAATCTTCCATGGAAAAAATACGAATTTACCTCCGTGGACGTATTCAACAAGAGTACAGCAGATAAAGGTATTGAAAGAATAACTCAAAGGGACTACAAGGGACGAAAACAAAACGTACCAGGCAAGGATACCATGTTGTATTTGTTACGTCATCGGAACGTATCGGTTAGACCCCTGCCACTTGATTCTTATCAGACCGCTAAAGAGGGCACCAATACTGAGCGATGGTCCCCACCAAACTATTATTACTGTGGTACACCGATAACATTACCGGTCACGCTGCAACGAGTAGGTTCTGATCAAACCACAAGAGAGGGTGTCAATAATCCGTAATAGTCCTCACTACCTTCACGAGCCGACTCACGCTCAGTAAAATCTATTGCCGATTCAAACGCCTAAGCAGTCGGGAGCCGAATAACGCTTAGTACAATTCCAGCGTCGACTCAAATGATCAATGATTCTCGAAACGGAGAAACTCCTTTAATTTAGGGACTAAAGCACGTGCCCAGTACTCCCAATTCACCCTTTAGACTTGCACTCCCGTTCTAGATCCTCTCATGGATGTTCTCCCGTCCTAGACGACGTTCCAACTTAATGGTCAACTGCCTAATTACTAAAAACTCAACAATTCTCACTACAATCAGTAACACCAACACTACTATAACAACTGCTTAAATAAAAGTCACTAAAACCCATTGTGTTTACTCTGAATTGATGTATTAATCTCTCACTCATCCCCCCCCCATCGCCATTAAATGAGTGGTCCGGTCTAATCCACCCACCGTGATCTGCGATCACATTGGTGGCTGGAATTCCAAACATTTGGTCCTTCGAGTCGGATAGTAGAGCTAATGCATTACATCGGTGTTAATACATGGATGGACGTGTCATTTATCTAAGAGAACATTATTAAAAAACATTACTGTTAAAGTTATTGCTACCAACATTTGTTCTTATATTATCTCTTATAAAGAGAATTTAGAAGCAAGATAATATAATAAGTTTTGGAAAATATATTAGTTTTAGAATTCAAAACTAAACATACCATATTATACAGATCAAAGAGAGTGTTAATAAATATATGCAATGATTTTTGTATCATACAATAAAAATTTAATTTGATATGAAATAATATATAGTAGAAAGAATTGTGAAAAATGTATGGAGGTTCAGAGTTCATAAAATTATTATTTAAATATTATTATTATATTATAATTACTATACATGTAATCATTAGTATTACTGTACTTAAAAATATTAGAAAAAGTATCTCTGAGCTTTGCCGAAAAATAATTGTTATTAAATCAAGAATCAAATAAAATTATGTACAAATGTACATAAGAATTATCAAGAAATTCTGTCTGTAACACATACAAAATATTGATAAATTGCAAAAATAATAATATACAGAAATGATAATACACCTATAAGACAGTATATTCAATATTATCGAATAATTAGAATTGTACAATGAAAATTTTTGGAAAGAAAGGATCATAATGTTGTCTTCATTTTTAATATGAAAAGTGATTATATTTTTAATAAATTTTTTTATTAAAAAGAAAAATTCAGAAATATATAGAAATTATAATTTGTGCTTATTTTACAAAAAATTATCAATTATCAGTTAATGTTTTAATTTAACAAGCATTTAAATATACTTTTATTCTGAGAATGAAATTTTGTTGTTATCATAGAAAAAAATATTATTGTTGTAAATTTGGAATTAAGATTTATCATTCCATTAAATGATTTATATATTTATAAAAACTATTTGTGCGATTAAGTCATTAAAACTTTTAAAACAAAGGCATTAATTGGTATTTTCATCAACAAAAGTTCTTTACTTTAAAAATCATTAAGAATAAAGTGTTTTAATTTTATAAATATCATTTTTATGAATTAAAAAGAGATAAGTTACTTACTGGCGAAGATACAAACATTTCTAAATATTTGTATTTACTAATTCTGACTAAGCTCTGTTTTATACCCAGAGCGATTTAAATATGCTTTTTTGCACATTTTTTTTATATTGAAAGTGTTATTATTACTTGCTCCACATTTTACTTATAACAAGGTATTGAATTGATTATACATAATAAATAATTAATTAGAAAAATGAAATGTGCGTAAATGAAAATAAAAGAAAACATATCTCAAAATCAGTGCCATAGTTATCATTGCAAATAATTATTTAGTATAATTTCAGTGATGATTTTTAAAGACAAAAATTTGTTTATATAATTTAAGCCACATTCTCATATGATATATATTTAAATTGGACAACAACAAATTATATTTATAATTCAATTATTAACTATTTTTCAGTAGGAAGTTAATTGAAAAACAATAAAATACTAAAGTACAATAAAGCAGTAAGTACATGAATAATAAATTAACGTAAATAAATAAATTATTAAAAATATTATCTATATTTATGTTTGTCATAAGTTGTGACATTGAATATTAATAACAGGCAGCGTGAAGATGATTAAATATACATTTTAAAAGTAAAATATGGGTAATTATTATTATTGCGTTAATATTTACATTTTCGTTATTTTGTTATTATTATGTAATTTGCATGTCTCTATTTATATCAAAAATATATATTTTTTAAAAGCAATATAAAGAAGTGTTAACATGAATACAAATTTTGTTGGATTATTGCGATTAATGTAGTAGTAAAAGTAGGTGATATTATAAATAAAAGTAAAATTTTATAATCATTTGAAATAAAATATTTTTTAAATTTTATTTATTTTATTCTAATACTACTTTGATATATTATTAATGTTAATTTAAAGTATGTAAATTTTTAAAATATAAAAAAGATACCTGATAAATAAGTGGAAGAGTTCTGCAAAGATCTTTATCAAAAATTTTCAATATAGTATGTTTGGTAATATGAGGTGGAAAGATGCTGCCATCACTACCCATTACACTATCACAATCAGGTGTAGTCCAATGACCCAAGATTGATTTCCCATTCCATTTATCCATTAATCCATATTTTGTGATATCCATAATTCCAGTAAATATAGTAAAATTATCTTTTCCTGTACCGTTTTTTCCATAAAGTAATCCGAACTGTTCATATGGTAACTTCTGATCTGTAGGTACAACATCTTTGGCAAGCTTAAGAAGAGGATCTTCATAGCCCCATAGTAATTGACCCACTGAGACTTCTACAAATGGTTTGATCTTTAGAATATCCATGATCGATGCCATTGCTAATCTAAGAAAGCGAGCAGCATGTTTCGATTGACTAGTTGCTGAAAGCATCGGTACATTCGGAACTACTACTAAATCCTCTTCTGAACCATGTGATAACTCCTATAATTATAATATTTGTTTAATATTTAAAATTTAAACATACATTACATTGTTTCTTAAGATTTTGAATAAGCGGAATTATAAAATGTTTAATAATTTTGTCTTTTTTTTAAAATATGCATATATGTAATATATATTATGTATAAAAATATGTTATTTGGAAAAAACTATAAAAATTCTTTGAAACTGTAAAAGATTATATATATATATATAAACTTTATTAATTGAATAACATTATGCAAAGAACGACAAAATAAATTTATCACAATATAAATAACTCTATCTTTCGGGTAATTAACTTAAATGACTAACGGAATCTGTTAAGAGAATCGTTAAAGAGTAAAATATATATTGTTTCCTAATATTAAAAATATTTTTCAACAAGTGCGAATCCCGTAAATAGAATTATTTGTTTTTTACAAAATACATTTAAACACTTACTCTGTTAAAAATTATTTTGTAAAAACAAATAATTATATATGTATGATAATATTTCATATAAAATAATATATATATATATATATATATATATATATATATGTAATGTCTATTATCAATCAATCATGAATAAATAATTAGTTCCGTAAAGAAACAGATATTTTTATTCTTATCTTTATGAAATTTAATAAATTTTCTAAAACTAATAAAATAAATATAAGAATATTTATTTCACAAAAATGATACATTTTTATAAGCTCAAAGTTATATATTATTTATAGAATGTAAGTTACTTATTTCAATTGAGTAATCTGATAATTGAACTGAAAGATTAAACTCAATAAGTTTTTATTAGTTTTTAAAAATATAGTAATTTAGTAAACAAAATATTATAGTACTAAGAAAATGAAAAATGAAAATAATATGATAAGATTTGAGTTTATTTAATAATATATTTTCTAAATACTTCTTTTCTAAGGTCGTTTAAACTGTATTCATAAAGGGAAAGTTACTTCATTTTTTATAAAAAATTTAAAATGCATTTTGATTTTGTCAAATTGAATTACAATAAATTATGAAATTATTGAATATATTAAAATATTTTGTTTAAAGATAAAGCAAATAAAAATTAATTTATTTTATTAAAAAGGTATTTATATAGTTTATCTTATCGAAAGTAAATATTTAAAATTTTTCATTTTTATTATGTATAATTTATGAGGTATATAATTATATTTATTTTTGCTTTTGATCGTTCCACATATATTGTTACACGTGCTTTAAAAAATAATTTTTTAAGTTGTAAACTCAAAATTTCTCATTAGCCATATTGTTATGAGGTATCTTTTTAATTTTGACTTTAGCATTGTTAATATTTATTTAAAATTTGTATTTTTCTCGTTATTTATATATAACACTAATATCAACAAATTTTTATCATAGTTTTGTAATGATCATTGTTAGAGGATTTTTACAAAATAGTTCTGTTATCATGATCCTGTCACCGAAAATTTTTTCAAAATTCTAAATTGATTCCTTAAAAAAAATTTGAATTTGTTACATGTTTTTTATGTACAAAAATAATCATTAATAAATCAAACGCAAAATTAAAATGAATGTTTATTAGGACTTATTATATAACTTAAAAATTATAACAAAAATTGAAATATATAAATATTTCATTACGCATTTCTATAATTGTAATTTCAATATATAATATAATACATATTTTAATAATTTTGTTTAATCACGCACTTATGATAACATTATTATACAGCATTCAACAACATGTAAACAAAAGTAATGTATTATTTTCTATTATGAAGGCAACTACAAGTTTTTTTTACATTTTTTGCGTTTTTAGTATTTATAATATTTGATTATAAATATAAGTGCATATTATACCTATACTATCTTTAAATAAATAAAAGATAATATATTCCTGTATTTATAAATAAAGATTATTAATCTCCACTGTTATTATAATATAATTTAATTACTTAGATATTATACTTTTAATATAGATAATGTATTTTTTATGTAATGTAAGCAACATATAAAACGTTAAAAAATTTATATTATCGAATTAAGCCTGTTGGGCCAATATTGTTGGTATACTGTAATTATATAATTAGCTTTAATGATTGTATTGGATGTATTTAATCTGTAGTTTATATCATATTATATATATCATTTATATCATTCATTCATGTGTCAATCGTTATATTCTGTTTTGAAGCATTCTTGAGTTCAACATTCAATCAAATACTTTTTTTCCTATTATATATGTTTTAAAATTATTATTATATATTATATTTTAGGAAATTTAAATGAGCATATTACTATAATCAATATGTATCACATATTTACTTACAATAAATCAACTAGATAGCAAATAAGGAAACTCTTAATTACTATACCAATGAACCTGCAAGTAATATAAAAATAGTGAACTTTACCCTCATCTATTACATAGCAGCTTCAAAAAAAATATATTTATAAAAGGTAGGATGAAATTGGATTTCCAGGATTAAAAAGAAGATTATTTTATAAAATATACAACTGTATATTCCATGAGAATTTGTATAATTATTTAACCTGTAAAATATACTGATAAAAACAAATATTTTCAAAAGCAAACGAAATTACAAAAAACTGTGACTCATAGTACTATATCGTATATCATGTATATTTGAGGAATATATTATTTTTCTATTATAAAATTCTTAAATATACGAATTTTGTTTTCTCTTTTAGTATGTTTTTTTATTATTTTCATATTATTATGTATTTATCTTTATGCTGTGTTAATATACAAAGATGAATTTATGAGTCATAATAAAAAGTAATAATAAAGAGGAAATTATAAGTAATAATAAAAAGGAAAATTGACCATATATACATGGAAGAGTATAACTTATATAAAATTCAGTGATGTAGGTAGACTTGGAATTTACTGAAAAGATATTATCAAGGTACTTCAATTTAGTTAATTAGATCATATATATCTATAAAATAAAACCCTGATATATACATCTGAATATTTTGAATGCCAATACAATATATAGGCGAATTTATATGGAAAACACTAGTATAAAAATAACTAATGACAATTAGTTGAATTTCTATACATTCTATAATTTTATAAATTTATATTTTTATATAAACATTAATAAAATGTTCTATAATTAGAAATATTTTTATTAAATTAAAAAATTTCAAATAAAATTTCAATTAAATCAAAATTCCATAATTTAAAATTTATGATTTGATACAATTCATAATTAAATATCAATATTTTTTCAATATATGCTTTTTAGGTGATTTTTTACAGATATACATTATGTTATTTGTAAATTTATTATATTCTATATATTAAAATATTATTTAATACATATTTATACATATTTAAATTACTGAATTTTATTAAGTTACTAAAGCTTTTAGAATAATATAGAATTTTTACTTGAACTAAAATAAAGTATTTAATATAAAATATGATAAAAAGAGATACAAATATCAATCTAAATAGATATTTATTTAAAAATAAAATCTTTATAACAAATTAGTTACCTGATAAAAACTGTTCATCGAAATAATTTTTTATGACAATAATAAAAATAATAATATGAATCATTTGTGCATTACTTAACTCGAATAATTAAAATGATTCGATAAGATATTAATAGAATGTATTTTACTAAAAATATTTAAAAAGAAAATTTTTAAAATAACAATACTGTATATAAAATTTATACCTTAATTTAATTTGATTCTATATTTCAATATTTATCGATATTCAAATATTAAAAATGTTAATATAACTAAATTTACTATATTTAATTGAAAAAAAACTATACACGTATTTTTTATAGGTAATATAAATTGAAAGGAATTACCTCTGAAAAAACGAATCTTTTTTTGACATTATAAGTAACAGTGTCATTTAAATTAAATTTTATGTTTACTTTCTCCCAGGTCTCAAGATAAATGTATGGACCAAGCTCTTGTAATGTGGGTTTTACACCATTATTAAGAAACTCATCTGCATTAGTAACGTTGTAAATATAAACACGCATTTGTGGTGTAACGGGGGGTTCTTTCCACCAATCAAAAGTACGACTACCCTCCTGCAATGCAATTTCCTTGTCTATGATAATATTAATGAGCCGAGGAAACAGTGCAGCTAATATGCCAGCAATAATTATCATAAGAGCACCTATTGCTACAGCAGCCCCTGAAAAATATAATACACTGTTGTAATTTATATATAATAATATTTATATCATAAATAGTAAAGAATTTATATATAATTTAACATAATAATTTATAACCTCAAGTTATAAATACTTAAAGCAAGTACCATAAATTATATTACAAACCACTTGCGCAAAGGACAAGTTTAATCCAAACAATATGCAATTTATAATAAAATTAGAAAAAGGAAATAATACCATTGCATATATATAATGAAGCATTAAGAATTAAAAAAACTTATTTATGATATAATAAAATATAATACAATATAAATTATGTATTGCTATTTTACTTCTTATTTTTATTTTATATTAAAATCTATTACAATTGTTACGACAATAAAATGAATATTATAAAATTAATTTTAATATTATAGTATTTATACATTTTATTTCTTAATGCCATATATTATATTTTGTATATATTCAATATTCATTGTATAATCATTATTATATCAATATGAATATCATTTATGATTAATAATATTAATTAATAATAATATTTCTCATTCCATCTTTCATTAACCTTAATCTACAATTTACTCTTATTCCCGTTAAATACAATTGTAATTCAAATTTTATATTATTTTCAATATTTTAAAAATTATTTAATTATTATTGACCATCAATTACCATTAATAGCATTAGTATGCTTTATGTCCATTTTTAGTTAAATTTTTATTTATTATTTAGTCTTTATAATATATTTTGTACTAATAACTTATTTTCATAATAGTAATTTTGTATTTGACAGGAAAGGATTATTAAATAAATGCATGTTCGATAGCTTTATAAAAAATTTTCCGCCCGCTCTAGTGGATGCTTGGGAATAACTTAAGTGGAAGGGCTGTAGAAATATAATGTGTGCTTACTTCGTTAAATATGGTTTATTATAGTTATTTTACAGTTCCATTATTGATGTGTTGGGTTTATGTGATTGGAGGGTGTATACTATATTAAATCACAACGATGCAATTGCTTGGAACTGATCCTGTGGTAAATAGTTTACCAACACGAGATTCTCCTTGTTGATGGTGATGATGTTGTTCTTCATTGTGTAAGGATCAACTGATTATGCGCATTTCATATTAGTGAGTGTGGTTTGTGCTATGTTAATAATAGCGCCCTGCTAATTTGAACGGATTAGCATTGATTATGCACAGATTTGTTTACTCACAGTGATACAGTAGCCTTGACTTGCTCCTGTGATGAATGGTTCATCGTCACGAATACTCTTTGCTCATGGTGATGATTTGTTGTTGATTTTGCAACGATCAGCTATGAACTGTATCCACTCTTTGATTGGAGTTTGTCTTGTTATATTTTTGTAGTCTGGCTTTTTCTTGATATGAAGGAGATAGTGTCAACACCTGTATTTGTACAGCACAGAAGAATCGACGTGACTTGCTTCTATGATGGCCTTACTTCGATAAAGCTTGTTCACTATAGTGTCCTCAGTAAGTAAGTGAGTGCATGCTCGAAGCGTGTCTCCCTTTAAATATCTACGCGACAGCCTAGTTAATACTGATAACAATGGATGCGATTATGGTGGTAGAAAACAATGGATACGAGTGTGGTGCTAGAAAACAATGGATGCAATTGTGTACCTTTTTCAGATGTCTAACGACAGTTGGGTTTTTTCCACAAGTTAAACATCCGAGAGATTCTCAGAATCTCGAATATTCTGCCTGCCATATGCAATTTTATTGATGATTATTCCTTTCACGTGGATTGGTAGCACTTCCAGTTTATGTATTGGTCTTACGATGGTAGTCGAAGTTGTTTTTAATGTAGCTAATCTGGTCAGCTCATCCTTGCCAGGTTGAATCTTAATTACTTTAGCGAGAGGTCACTTGTAAGGTGTGATTAGCTCATCAGTGATGACTATCATCGAGCCAATTTTAATGTATTTTTGTGGATTGATTGTTGGCGTTGTAAATAGTGAGCTGACCATTGGGGCCAGAATTATTGCCAGCTAGACAATCCTGACATTGATAGTCCTTTGAGAGATGGTTTTGGAATAGTTGTGAGCGAGCTCCCTATAAGGAAATGTTCTAGGGTGAGTGCCGAAACATCTTCAGGGTCGTCACTCATCGGCTCTAAAGGTCTCAAGTTGAGAATTCTGAAGAAGCCTATGTGGCTTCTTAGTCAGTTAAAACAGAGTCCGTTTGTCTTGCCAGATTCAAGTCTCCCTCATACTCACTTTTTTTTTTATTTTTGTACACAATAAAAACAAGTGTGTGTTGTTGCAGTATTTGCACGCATGTGACCCGAATGATCCTGTGGTTGAGTCGACTGAGCATTGCTTATCAAACCTGGTAGGTATTTTGATGTTTTTCTTTCTGAAAATTGGAATTGTACTACTGATCCAGGATGGTCTTTTCTTATAGAATTGTCTATCAAAATAGGAATTATTGTATTATTATTCTACAAATATATATATATATATATGCGAATTTATATTACTGTAATCTAGTACGCAATTATTTGGTAGTACTTAATTGCTTAAAATCTTTGGTTTTACGAGATGTTTTTTGTATATTTTTATTATAGCTAAGTTTGAATATCAAGGTTTACCTAAATGTAAACCATTGGTGTATGTTGATTAACAATTATTTTTATAATTTTTGGCTAGAATTTAAAAATTTTTCTGTAAAATAAAAATACATCCAAACATTATCAATTGACAGTATTTATTATACAAATTATGATGATAAAAAAGTCTATTGACTAAAACCCGATAAATAGCTTCCACCCTTGAGCGAAGGTATTCTGCAAGAATATCTATATGCAAGCTATACTTATCATAGTAAACAGTTTTTGTAAAATAAAATACAAAAAACAAAATAATGTTTGTATAGTGAATATTTTATTTTTCTATTCTTTTTCAAAATGTTAGCTTTACAAATTCAAAATAAATTTGCAATTTAACATGCTATTTGATACTAATAATTTAATTTACTAATTATAATAACCTTTTAATGTACTGGAGCTTTTTGTCGAGAATCACATTTTGAAGATTATTCCAATCTTCTCAATTTAATGAATAGTTATATTATATTTTTTTCCACATTTTTCATCGACAAAATTTTGTTGTATTATAATGACTTCTAACTATCTTACTATTTCTAATATGGACGTATAGCTACCTAATAAGAGGTGCAATAACAACCTCAATATTTATTAAAGTTCTTATTTTAAATTGATCAGTCACGATACCTAGTACTGTTAAAAGGCAGTATTTTGTTATAGAACATTTAATTATATGAACTAACAAACTAAATTAATGGTCTAGTAAAAAATTCGTAAGTACCATTTATTTTTAATGAAAAATTTGTCCAAGTACATATATAAGGATAACATTCTTTATTGATGTTAGAAAATTTTTTATCGAATGGCAGTCAATTAACTGACGACTAATCATCTTATGAATATGATAATTCTTGAAATTTAATTAACGAAGAATTTTAGTTGTTATTAAAGTAACGATAGATACAGCAATTTATTTAAAAAATTTACTAGAAGAGTAATTAGTGGTATTACTTTCGTACCAAAATCATATAATAGTAACATGACTCTCAAAAAATAATACATCCATTACTATTAATCAATATAATTATTTATCACCATGATAGGCATATTGAGATGATGAAATTTGCATAACAAAGAATAAATTCGTAGCCTTTTATATTTCTCAACTATAATTTTGTTTAGAATCACTCATTGGAAAATTAATGTATATATACAAGGAAGTTTTAATTACTTTCTATTATGAAAACTATTATCGCTTTAATTGAAAGTATAAATAACCATATAAAAAAAATAATAAAATTCTAAAAATCTATAATATATAATCTATTTCATTCTATTAATTGATTATGTGATGACTACATTATGCTAAGAATTATCAATAATAGTATTTTCTTAAGCTTGATATTTCAGATTTGTTTCAATTTAATAATTAATGGAATAACTGTTATAGACCTGTGTTATAACTTCCTATTCAGTATTATAAGTTTCTATCGATATTTTCAATTTTTATATGTACGGGAATTTTTCTTGTATTTATAATTTTCTTAATAAATACTTCCATATAATTTTTCATTGGATATTAAGCATTATATATCTTATAAGATTTTATTTATACTGTACACTCATTATATATCTCAAAACAGTCTTATCCAATATTTTATTCTAGTCTTACAGTGAAACGAACGAAAAATTCATTGTAGCATACTGCATTTTAGTAAAAAAAAAATTTTAAGAATTTTTACATTTATTGTTTAATTTATTTAGTATTTTAAATAGTACTTATGATTGAAATATCTTTATAACAATAATATTTAATGATAACAAATATTTTCTTATTAAATTATTAAATTATTGAATTGTTTAATATTAGTATTATTTGTTACTGCTATGAATACATTTAGATATATTAGTTTACTTATAACATCTTTTGATAATTATTTTTAAAATGTTAGTATTATATAAAAAATATCTTTCTTTATAGTAGTAATTCGAATTAAATAATTTCCTATTTATTTCAGTATCTTCTTTCATTAGTGTAGAAGTTTAAAACAATTAAATTATTTACGTATCAATTTTTTTTAGAATTTTATTATATTTTTTCTATATTTATAACTTTTATTTTTACCAATTTAGACAGATTATTGATATAGAATTTAATTTATTTCTAAAAGTAATCTTTTAGATTACTTTTTTTTAAATATAGTTATTTTTTAAAGTAATTAAACTAAAATATTAATACAAATAATAAGATAAATAATAAACATTTCATTGTAAAGTTTTTAAATGTTAAATACAGATACATATTTTATTTATTAATTATGTATATAAGAAATATCTTTTAGAAATTCAAAAAAATAATGATACATAAATTATTAATTAACATGTTAATTAAAAATAGTAGTTTATTGTTCTTTATCTTATTTATTTCTCTTGTACTAATTAATAATAG